GAAAAATAAAAATGACAAAAATCTGTAAATAGCAAAAGGCACCACTTCAAGATCTGTCTCATATATCTGCCAAGTCCTGTTGAAAGATATTGAAAGGTTTTCAAGTTGTGCTCCGGAAACGAAGCCCATCCCCCCTTTTTGAGACTAAGTCTGAATCATTTCCATGGAAACCAAGAAAATAATAAATCACACAAATCTGTAAATAGCAAAAAGCACCACTTTAGGTTCTGTTTGATCTATCTACAAAGTTTTGCAGAAAAATACTGAACGGTTTCTGAGTTATGCTCCGGAAACGAAGCCAACCCCCTCCCTTTAAGACTAAGTCCAAAACGTTTCCATGGAAACGATACCTATTTTCGCGGCATTATTACATAAATTTAGTTACAAATTGAACATTAATATTTCATATTTTATAATTGTCCATGAAAAGATCAAGATTTTTCATATTCTCAGAGATTAAAAAGTTCTAATATCCCATCTATGGGCACGAAGAAAAATAATTTATAACTCTCATAACATCAAAAAACATGATACAATTGCAAAATTGTAAACGATACATAAAACATTTAAACCGATACTTTCAAAAATAAATATCGATACAGTTTTGAATGTATCGATATTTGTATCGTCTTAGAAAAAGTATCGATGCATCGATGTATCGTGGCATCCCTAATATCAATGTCCTACAGCCTCTTCTAGAGTTTCTTATTACAAAAATTGGTTACTGGGTCCTACAAGGCTAACAAAATATTCAGCATATGCGGTTCTGCTATGTTGGCCTACCGACAACGGTCGGTTCCAGGTCGACGAACACGGCCCTGGGGACGTGTTTCCCCGCTCCGGTCTCGCTGAAGAAGGTGTTGAAGGAGTCGTCCCCACCCCCGATGGTCTTGTCGGAGGGCATCTGGCCATCAGGCTGGATGCCATGTTCAAGGCAGTACAACTCCCAGCATGCATTGCCGATCTGCACACCGGCTTGACCCACGTGGATTGAAATACACTCTCTCTGGAAGCAGGAATACCTTTGTCAAACTCTGATTTTCGGATTAAAGAGAAATAGCAATATAGATCTACCATCTGGTACTGAAGGAAAATACTTGGGCAGCCATAGCAGTTGTTTTAGTATCAGGTGATCAATGTATTATGAATCGATCTCTGAAAACATCGACGTTCAAACGACATAAATTGAAAAGGATTTTAATCCTAACCAAATATTAAATATATTTTAACGTCTATTCCAGTGAACTACGTTTACGAAAAGTGTCAAAACTTAAATACTTTGAATCAAACGGTAGACTGTTTGGTATAAAACGTTGTCATTGTCAAGCCTAGGTCGAGTGTCTTGATAAAAATAGTTTTCTCTGAATAAGACATAATCATGTTTCGCCTGTGTTTAAACATTACACTTAGATCCAGTCCGATAACGCATGGGTAGGAAACAGATGTGAAAGAGTTCTCACCATTTTGTTGATCTAATCTTGCTACCTTCAACGGTCTCTGAAAACGAGTCGCGACGAAACGTGTAACGTGCCTCGCAAACAACTCTCAACTGAAGGTTTTCAAAGCCCATACGACGTATTACTAGACGATGTGACGTCATTGGATGACGTCATCGCGGAATGAAAGTTATCTCTATCTTTAGCGCCGCCGTGTTGCGAGTTTAGACATGCTGACATGTGACGAAGAATGACTTTCTCAGTAATGGAAAAGTGATCACTTTATTGCAGCTGTAACTAACCTAAGTGTATTAGTTGAAACGGAACGTAATGGTATATGTTACTTGGTTTTAATATTATTTCCTTGTAGGTCTGTAACGTAATATTGGTTCCAGATTACAATGTGAGTTGAGTTTAATGTTACTTTTACCAGATTATTCCAGCAATATCACCCATGTGGAGATTCGAACCCAGAACTTTCGCATGACGAGCGAACGCATTAACCACTACGCTACCCCTCCACTCCCTCAAATAACACTGACTGACTGACTGAGTTTAGTTTTACGCCGCTTTTAGCAATATTCCAGCAATATCACGGCGGGGGACACCAGAAATGGGCTTCACACATTGTGCCCATGTGGGGAATCGAACCCGGGTCTTCGGCGTGACGAGCCAACGCTTTAATCACTAGGCTACCCCACCGACCCCCCTCAAATAACAAACAAGTGATATCGTATTGTAAGTATAGGACATAGCCATACTGCAGTAAAGGCCCGGGTTGTTGTGACGTATATATCTGGTATAGTGAGTGAGTGAGTTTAGTTTTACGCCGCTTTTAGCAATATTCCAGCAATATCACGGCGGGGGACACCAGAAATGGGCTTCACACATTGTACCCATGTGGGCAATCTAACTCAGATCTTCGGCGTGACGAGTGAACGCTTTAACCATTAAGCTAGCCCCACCGTCCCTATACCTGGTATAAAACATAATACAGGGTTTTACACAGACTTTGAAAAATAGTCATGGTGACTCACAATATTTATTTTTGGGAGTCATTTTCAATATTTGGGTAACATGAAAATTTCAGTGTAATATTTTTGTGTGTATATCAAAAAGCAAGAGTTTTGCAAAGATGTTATTGTTTTGTGTTGTATTGTCATTTATATCTTAGTTAATAAATAGTATATTTTTCACTGTTCAGTTCAGTCATAACAAACTCTTGTATACTGAACAAATAAGCAGGCTTGTGATTTATTCACTGTAACATGTCTAAATCAATGAAGATCTCACGAAAACTATCATTGTTTGCTTATTGAACTGGATTCTGAGGGTCACTCATAAAACTTGCGTCTAGCTTGACTCGTACAATATTTTGAGAGTCTTTTACACAATTGTTGCGTCCAATACGCAGGAATCACGCGTGATGTAAAACCCTGCATAATAGATAAACTCATTATATTAACTGCATCGCGAATAGTTGTCTATTGCATCCATGTAAGGTATCAATCTAATGGTCAGATATAATTGTCGTTTGTTCTCTCTTTTTTGATATGACAAAGGTAAGTATTCTGTCACAGAATAGTTTGCAAGTTTCCTGAAATACGACTAGCTATTTTTTATATATAAAATGAGATGGCACCATATCTTGGTATCAGAAAATACATTATTTTATCTAAATAATACATTTCACCCTGAACACTTTTGGTATTTGAATCAGAACCATTGCTGTCTGAATAATCGCACAGGTGTTAACATACACGTAGAAAGTCTAGATATATGCAACACAGAGAAAATATGGGTGTTTTATAAATTACCCCTACAAACTATACATTACTTTTGTCATTTGTTATTCTGAGGTTTATAAAACTACCGGCATTGTACTTGAATATATCAGTAAAATCTCAGGTCTCAGATAGCAACACATATAATCTGAGAGATGGAATTTATTTACAGACAATCATCTGTAGGGCCAGTTAATGTGAGAGGGAAATGCATGTTTTTGAGTACGATTAAACTGAAAACTAGACAATTCGTAGAAATAGATATGCACTACCAAGAGTTTTCATCTCGACATTCGGGCTAGCTTTACCGAAATGTTACAAGCACATTTTTAAAGTCACTGCCTTTGGTAAAGGGACAGCAGCTACTGGTCTTCAGCAACCCATGATTGTCGTAAGAGGAGACTAACGGGATCAGGGAGGTCAGGCTCGCTGATCAGCCTAAGTAAACTTAGTCTCAGTATTATTCGTTACACTGCTATACTATACTCAGTATAGCAGTATAGCATAGCAGTATAACGAATAATACTGAGACTATGTTTATACTTCGACTGGCTCGCTGATTTGGCTGACACATGTCATCGTACCCTAGTTGCGTCGAGCGATGCTCGTGCTGCTGATCATTGGATTGTCTGGTCCAGACTCGATTATTTACAGACCGCCGCCATATAGCTGGAATATTGATGAGAGGAGTTAAACAACAAACAAGCCAACAAAAATCTATTTCGAACGCAGAACCAAACTACACAGTGTGAAAGTCATTACTAATAATTGAACAAAATGTCAATCAGAGATAACATATATGTGCATTGGGCTCAATACGTTATGTCTTCAAATCTGTTCTGTCGTCTCCAACTGTTTGGATCCGAGCTTGTGGAATCCTAGCCCATTGCTTGCAACGGTTGCTGAAGCGTCCGATGGCGGCTGAAGTTGACGTACCTGTCTGTTGAGGTCATCCCGAAAAGGATCTGTATGGTCAAGACCTGCAGATTTGAAAACCTGCTTAAGAGCTGTAATATTTCCCTTTAGCAGATAATGAACAAAGGCAAGGACAGCAGGCCTGGTATTGTCTTAATAAAACATTTCCCTCTCACATTAACGGGCACCATGTGATCTCGTCAAATCCCAACCCTGTGAGCTGTGAAAATTAATTGACACATGTATGTCATCGTATCCCAATCGTATGCCCGTGATGTCGATCGCTGGATTGTCTGGTCCAGACTCGATTACTTACGTACCGCCGCCATACAGCTGGAATATTGCGGGTTGGTGTTACAACAAACGAACCAGTAATGCTTACAAGTTACAACCACTGATCTATATGTTTCTTGTACTCAGGTAAACAACCACTTTTCTGCCTGCTTCTCATGCCACCACCTACAGGGTTGATTCTCATGCCTAACAACCAGAAGAAAGGTATCCTTTCCACTCACTAGCTCGCGTGATATATCTTCCTACATAATGCTTATGTCCAGTTTTTTTTTAGTTTCTACTCGCCTTTTGAACGTTATGGCCATATAAATTTGGGTTTGAACACTGTGTCAGTTTCTAACGTTCATTGAGAACTGCCACGAATCATCTATTTTTATGTCTGAGTCAGTCAGCTTTGTCCATGAACGAGTTGATCTGTCCTGAAACTGATTCATAGGTTAACTGTCCAATGTCAAGCTGACATTGCAGTCCTCGTCATATTTGTTAAGTGAGAGTTTATGCATATTTTACAGACGCATCCGTCACTAAAATGCGGAAGTAGAAGTGACGTCATCACGTCATTTCTGCAGCGCCCTCTGCGAAAATGTTCGGCCATGTGTAATTTGTTATGATTCTTCGCAAGACAGTGGAACATTTTACCTGTCAAACATTGTCAGATGGAATTATGATGATTGATCGGTAAGAGAGCAAGGCTAGTAAATTATGAACGATTTACATGTATTGTTAAGAGCATGTGCCCCAATTATTTATAGCAAGTTCGCTTTGTTTTGATGTAATTATAATGCCAATTTTTCCACCGTCTGTCACTTGGCTCGTCAGCAACATCAAGTTCCTTGTTTACAGATTACAACAATTTGGGTCTACGTCTGTTCGGTATTTTTATAACGGAATGTTATGCATTATGAGAGACATCTTGCATTTATCTGTATCGATTCGTGTCATAATGTTCATGCAGCATAAATAATTATTCGAAAATATTATCAATGTGATGATGGTAATGAAATCAACAAGGACAGATAACGATGGCAATGATAATCATTACTATGTTTGTAGCCCGCACGGCAACGTTGACAGCACATGGTGATAAAGATGAAAGCCAGGATAATTAATGTGAATTTGAGTAAAAAAATAATGGCCAACATGAAAATGTCGGCTGTTTAGACATGAAGGATTTGTCAATACATCCTGCAGTGAGACTAGAAAGTGTGGGTGGGAATATAAGCAGACAATATATTACTGCTATATTCTGTATTTCAGAAATAGATAGGGAACATATTTAAAAAGGTTTTACCTATTGCGTTAACCACAATTGCTACAATGACAATTGCTATATGACTGATATGAATTGTCTTTTTTATCTGTTTTCTTTTAAAGCATTTTTGAGATATAAAAAATGATTAATGAGAAAATGGCAAGGAAAGGAGGGAATGGTTGAAAAGTGTGTAAAAAGGATAAGGGCAGCAGTATAAGAATGTGATTGCGCTGAGCCAAGATTATAATAGTTTATACATGAAATCCATATGTTTTCTTTTACTTAATGTGTATCATAAACACCAGTTAATGTGATGAGCATAGGAAATCAGGGTGAAATGACCAATAATGTACCCAGTTTGGTTTGGCAAAGGTTATAATTGCCGTGAAATCTTGACAAAAACTAAAATTGTTATTGATCGTTAAGCGGGTTTGATGAAAACAGATCTTCTTTGCCATGACTGTCAAAAACATCCATAAACATGATAAGCAGTCAAGGATGATCCATGATGAGACACAACAATGGATTATTGATAATATCCAATGACATTTCTCTTTCATAAATGTATTATTTCATTCCACACCTACTACACCTTAGGCAATCAAACGCAGCATAAGCATATATTGATCAGCATAATCAAGGTCAATTTGCTGACATCACGTACATGTCAAGGTTCCTAGTTTACTGCACGTTGTACTAAGGAAGGGTTAACAATGGTAATCCAAGTGCATCGGGCATGCTGAACTCTTAATCAATACATGATATATTTCACTCATCTTAAAGAGGATGAGAAGTCTTTTGTAAAAAGGAGCTGTGAAATTATCTTTAAAGCCCTATAATTTATAGTATAAGCATGGTAGCAAGGGCTGTGTTTGGTATCGTACAATTATTGCAAGAGGGGGGGACACTTGTTATATTCCATGAACTGTGTACTTGCACTTGGTGTGTGTCAGGAGTTGTTTATACTATATCATGCCGGGCTCCAGATAATTTTTCAACATCAGGAGTACGTACTCCTTATTTTTTCAATATAGGAGTACTGGATAAACTTAAGAGTACATTTGGAGTACTGAATGGAATTTAATGACGTATCAGTAATCTTGTGTTTCGTTTCACATATGCACCACAACATTACTACTCTTGTGTAAATGGGGCAATTAACAATAAAACAACACTCTTTCAGATAAATACGTCTGTAAATGATTCCAAGACCGTACAGCATTGCTGTGGTGCGTATGTGCTACGTTTTCTGAATTATTTCCTACAATATCATGCATATTTTATCCGTACATACGCCGATACGGCCCTTATCTGGAGCCCTGATCATGGTTATGTTTACAGAGGATAAATCTGATCATGCAGTTACAGAATTGCATATTGATACCTGTAAATCATTAGGATTGAAACGGTATATGGCAGTATTAGTAGAACCGTGGTATTTTGCCTTCGGTTTGGTATACTGTAATGCAATCTATAAATTCGGTATTTTCGGTTCTCTTACCGTTATTTCTATCTAGTCATAAAATGACAGTTTTAAAATAACAAAGATGATGGTTATTTTTTTCCATGTTATTAAACAATGTAAGGTTTGCCTCTTGTTGTCAATTTCGTCATTATGATCATATCATATATACTAAACCGAAACGGACCTAACCAAAGACCTTGTACCGCAATAACGCACCGTACCATGGTACCCCTATATATCATGTATATCGGTAAACTGCAAAATCCTTTTAAGACAAACTTTTTTTCTTTCTGCATTCCAGTAGATTGTTTTTTATTTGAAATTTATTCACACAAGATTTTTCTCTTATCAAATATGTGTAGGAGTACCAAGATGCAAGCTCTGGAGATATGGATGTGTTATGGAAGATGTGTTTCGTTTGATATGACAAATGATGAATCAGTCCTATATATTCGAGTTCTTTTTCCACCAAGTACCTGTCTGCATGATAACAAGCTGTGACTGACGATTAGGATCTGCATGAACAATAAGTGTCAAGTCACTGTCAAACATTTTGCTAATATGTTGCAATAAGTACAGCAGCATACATACATATGTTGCAATATATTGCAATTCATTATTTTGCCCATAACCTTGCTTTTTTGTGTTACTTCTTTAAATGGAAATCCACTGTAACAATGCGGAAATGACACATATAATCAATCAGCTAAAACTAAACTAATTTGGTTGGATGCAAATTCCAAAATCGTTTTTCTCCCATTCCAAGACTGTCTGTTGTCAGTCATTGCAGTAAACCATCGTTAGGAAGGGTTCTGTAACAACTGCATAAAGAAGCTTGTATACCTGTGATGAGGGTATAGATAGGAATTATTAGAATATTGGACTTGGTCACATTTTGCCGTGTTTGCTGGCTAGTATTATGCAGCAGAGCCATTAGTAGTTACATTTTTTACATATATTCCTGGATTTCAACCAATTTATATGGTCAAATATGATATAAGTCAAATAATCACCATGTTCAAGTTTAACCTTTATCAATTGTTGCATCAATTTTTTTTTCTGCTTTCAGATTTTATTTTTAAAATGTTTATAAAGACCCAAATCCACATCCAAATGAATAGTCAGAGGGATCATTGTTAGTTTATTACCCTCAACAACGGGTCAGTCGTGTCAGTGCACTTAATTTTCATTCTCCACTCCTTGGGGAGTATACCGCTGACAACCTGACTCAGTTTGTCTTGTGTATTTCATATCCTTAGGACAAGTAGGTAGCAAAGGAGAATTTGTACTGGAATGACCATTTGCATGATTTGGGTTAGAAAACATTTCAGGTGTTTATTCCAGCTTGATTGGATAGTGCTGTGGCTTCAGCATTTATCCTGTCAGTAGCCTATCCCCAATTCATAGATTGGGGGCGGTGGGGTAGTCTAGTGGTTAAAGCGTTTGCTCGTCATGCCGAAGCCCCGGGTTTGATTCCTCACATGGCCACAATTTGTGAAGGCCATTTCTGGTGTTCCCCGCCGTAATATTGCTGGAATATTTTTATAAAAGCGCTGTAAAACCATACTCAGTCAATCAGTATTTTATAGATTGATGCTTGTTTTATCAACCACTAGATTGTCTTGCCCAGACATTATTTTTCCTGATTGCTTCATTTGCAATGAGTAAGGCATTAAACATGTTAAATAACTGAAATATGAGTCGGCTCCACTTTGTGCCAATCTTGTCATTGCTAATAAACATGATACCATGGTTTTCAGGTGAAAGAGTGAGATTTAGAATAAATAGCATGAGTTTGTCATGTTGATATATTTGTCAATTTATTTGTGAATATAATTCAGGAACCTTTTTTTCTGTAAACTATGTATATTTCAGAAACTAGGCGTTCATCTAGTATGGGGTTACATCCAAGAGATTGAGTATTTGAGGGGGTGTAGGAATCAAATACCGGTGAATTGCATTAAGTACGGTGAACTTCGTCTTACCAGCTGTGGAGCTCAGTGCAAAGGTGGCATAAGTGCCAGCCCATTGTTCATGTGTCGCCATGGAACTGGGGCACTGTTCTTGAGTAACATAAGGGACACTTGAAATGTATGTATGTAGGTTTTACAACTGGAAAGTCAACATGGTCATAGGAACAATTTGCATTTCAAGTGTAAAATTTGACATTTGATATTATCTCACTTACCCATATTTTATGTGGATATCTACTCTTTGTTTGTGTGTATTTTGTTTCTTTTACTGTGCAATTCTCCAGCTATGTAATGGAGGTCTGTAAATAATTGAGTCTGGACCAGACAATCCAGTGATTGACATCATGAGCACTGATCTACACAATTGGGTTGCGATGACGTGTGTCAACCAGTGATTTACAGGACGTGAATTCCTGCGTCCTATGTGCATAAAAATTGACAATGGATGCAACAAAATTGATTACCCCGTCCAGCGGTCCACAGGGACTCAGAAAAAGTCCAAATACTTTTTGTGCAAATTCCGATCAAGTGACAATAAGTTATCACTGAATTTGCAAATAGCTGGGTTGTGGTATATTTTGCAATGTAATTACTGTTACAATGTGATGATCATGATACACAATATAATAACAGTATTAATGATAATATTTAAGTGTCTGGGACCCCCATTTTGTTGTCCAGGACCCCCGAAAATTAAGAGTATGAGTCCCAGGGACCCTCAAATACAGGACTCAAGGTAAATCCCTGGTGTCAACTAAATCAGCAAGCCTGACTACCAAATCTGGTTCGTTGCCTCTTATGACAAGCATGGGTTGCTGAAGACCAATTCTAACCCATATCTTCACGGGTAGTGTCTATTTTAATATGCTCAATATAGTCATCGTTGCAGATTTCTGAGCACAGTCTGTGACATAAACTGGGTCAAGTATAACAACCTGTGGGACAGCATCTTCTTTGGTAGACTGATCGGTCCAGTAATGTCTTTTTC